TTCATACAAATATAGTAGACCATCGGTAGTAAAATACAAATATAACAGACCGAAAACCAATTGAGCAATCCTTTTCTTAAATTTATCGTTGAAAGTCACGGTAAAGTGATAAGTACTTCAAATCAATTTTGGCTTTGAATTCTGAGTATATAAATTACCTTTTGTAGGGATTATTTTACCCTCAAAATGTGACTTTTCAATGCAAATACCAAGTAGAAAATTTAAAACAAAAACAAAATATAACAAATCGAAAACCAATTGAGCAATCCTTTTCTTGAATATACCGTCAAAGATCATAGAGTGATATGTACTTTTTCATCTTTAATCAAAGATCTTGACTTTAAATTCTGGATATATAATCGCCTTTAGTAGGGATTGAGACTTTCCAATGCGAATCAAAATTAGTCATGCACCAAAGCAGGCACGTGAAAAATCATAATAAAATAAAAGAATGGTTTTGGTGATTTCGAAGAAAAAGAAGCTAATTATGCGTAATCAGCGCCAAGATGCCACACTTTAGGTAACTAATATGCTTCCGTCACCAATAATCAAGAGAAAAATAGGAGACATTTGCTGGTGTAGGTAAAAGTGGTTCAGTAATCAATAAACTGATGGAGTTTGCCCAGTAATAAACCTGCAGCCACGTGCTGGAAGTACCTTTCAAGATGTCAAACTTAGCTTCTTCCCTTATTTAACTTCCAACACCATTTCAGGAGGAGGGCACACGCACATAGTATAACATAGCCAAGTGGCCAAATTGTTGCATGCCAAGTATACAGCACCGTAGGGCTGCTAAAGTAACCATTCTTTTATTTAAGGGAAAATACATAAAAAAAAAAATCTCTAAACTTGGCACGAAAACTTATTTTAGTACTTCAACTATACGGGTATTTATATACCCCTAATCTCATTTAAAGTGAATAAATATCCCCCTTAATGCTGACGTGGCATAAAGAAAATAGTCAAGTGCGTCTTTCTTTTTGATTAAAAAATTGATCCCACTAATATATGTGTTATATAATTAAAAAAGACGCAGGAAAACTTACTTTAGTACTTTAACTATACGGATGTTTATTTACCCCCATAATCTCATTTAAAGTGAATAAATATCCCCCTTAATGCTGACGTGGCATAAAGAAAATAGTCAAGTGCGTCTTTCTTTTTGATTAAAAAATTGATCCCACTAATATATGTGTTATATAATTAAAAAAGACAAAAAAAATCACCCACCCGGCCACCCCTACTTTCATCTTCTCCAAACCCACCCACCCCCAATCCCCTTTTTCTTCTTCTGCAAAAACCCCCCAGCCCTTTTCACTTATTTTGAACCCCTTATCTCACCCCCTTTCTCCTTCTTCGAACACCCCATTGTACCCTACCTCACCTGCATCTTGATCTTCATCTTTTTCTCTTTTTTTTCAGATCTATTACAGAGAAAAAAATCATTAAACTTTGTTCCGATCAAACTTGAGATTTCTGTCAAACAAAAGAAAATTTCATTAACACATTTTTATGATTTCAAAAATTATGATTGTTGTATGTCATGAAAAAAATAAGGGTTTTTGAAGATGAAATATTGGAAAGGATTGTTTGTTTTTTTTTACTAAAGGGTCGAATTCATCTACATTTTCAGTTGATTTATTTGTCCTCAAATACCAAAGAGAGCAATAAAATCGGTAAAAAATTCAATGTAGGTCCATATTTGTTGCAATCTCACATCAATGGATATTGATAGAAAATGTAATGAGAATTTTCTCAAAAGAAATTGGTGAAATTGTTAGAAGATATTGAGGTTGAAAATAGAGAAGTCATTAGTGAGAATTAATGATAATCAAGCAAGAACTGAGAAAATACTAATGGAGGTGGAAGGTAGTGCATCCATTGGAGAGACAAGGGAAAAAAATTAAATTTTAAAAATTGATTTCTGGCATGGGAAAGAGAAGAAGGGAAGGAAAAAAAAAACAAAATTTTAAAACTGATTTCCAACACGGTTCTGACGTGGCAATGATGTGGCGTTGATATGGCAATGACTTGGCGCGTGTGTAATATACGTGTCATTGTGAGACTGATTTTGTATTCTTAGGGTGATATTTATTCACTTTAAATGAGATTAGGGGATATATAAACACCTGTGTAGTTAAAGTACTAAAGTAAGTTTTCATGCCAAGTTCAGGGGTTTTTTTATGTATTTTTCCTTTATTTAAACATATTGTCCTCAACAATCCCCTCCAACATTGGATTGGATGTGCAATTATTGAAAGTTGAACAAGTTTACATACATTCTTTGTGACGACGTCCTACGTGAAAATTTGTATCCTTTGGTGTGACCCAGTGGTTTGGGCTTGGGACTTCCATGTTGGAGATCTTAAGTTTGAAACCCTTGGTCAACAAAAATAAGGGATTTGCCTTTTGAGTCGAGCTCGTCGCATCGGGCTTGCCTAGTGCGGGTTACCTCTCCTATGTGGTTTGCGAGCTATTGTATAGGAGCGAGGGTTTTACTCTGTGCGCACCCAAAGGATAGCGACTACGGGTTTCCCTTGTCATAAAAAAAATATGTATTCTACATGGTGTCTTATGTGTATTATCACGTAAGATGACATATAAGTTTAACTATATGTCAGCTAAAATCAACTTTAAATGACACATTTATATGTTATGCCTATGAATACTATCCACTAAAGAATGGATATTATCACTATGAGTTCTTCCTTTCTAGGAGGCTAAGCTTATTCCTTAGTTAACCTATTTTTTTATCTATGTTAAACATGGATTGGTCAAATATTTTATCCGTTTTTATTTTTGTTTAACCCATTCGATCTGACCCATCCGTTTTCCCGTCCAAGAATGGGGGTTTGCGGGTTCACTAGAATATATCCATTGTTTCAATGTTCAACTCTATGTGCAAAAATCAAGTACAAACAGAATTAAATATATATTTTCAAAACAATACTCTCTCGATTCAGAATATATAACGTTTAAATTCTGGATCAACCAGTGTGAAACTGAGGAAGAGGAAGATCACCTTTTCCACCATCATCAACTAGTTTTCTTAAACTTAGTATATTAATTGAGCATTGTTAAAACTAAGATTGTGGTCCTGAACATAAAGTAAAGATCGATATCCACATGTTGACCCAAAATCCCGTTACCAATTGCAATAATATAAACATTCTTTTACACTCAATTCCATCTAACGTTAGAATATATGAAAGAATATATTATTCACAATCATATCATATCCCATTAATTCCCACAATGCCTTCCTCTAATAGAAAGTTTTTCCATAAATATCGACAATAACAAAGACTTACACTCACAAACCATATAACAAAGTAGTCCTCTTGTGGTAAGTTTCATTCAATTACATATGTGCAAAAACTGGTACTTGTTTTACTATCTAAATCATTTACTTCACACATCTATAAGCTTTCCTTTTCTGTAAACACTATAACTAGTAAAAATCTTTCATTCAGAAAAGGTCTTCATGATCATGTCTTATAATTAACTACTTAATTAGTCCAAGTTGAGTTCCTGGTGAAAACGACGAAAATCCCATGCCACTCATGGCTCAGCAGAGTTCACTAGACTACAATGTGAGTTTTTTTTCACTTCTATTTTTGTTGTTGTTAGTGATTTACAGGATTTCTGATCGCGTTTCTGTATATTTTTTGGTGTTAAAAGGGTAAGTCAAAGAACAGAATTCTGACAAGAACTAGAAGGTGTTTCGAGCCAATTAGCAAAAATAATTTCACTTCTTATAATCAAGCATCAGAGATGCCTAGCAGCCCTGCCAATGCAATGGAGTTCTTGAGTCGACCGTGGAGTCCATCTTCTAGTGATCTCCTGCAAATGTTTTCATCAAGTGTAAGAAACCAACATTCTGCTATATCAGTTAGAAGCATAACTGAGGATTAAAGATTGTTAATCGTCAAACATATCCGTTTCAAATGAAAAGCTAACAGCAATTACTGTAGTTTACATTCCCCTCTCTTATGAGAATTGGTGCCTTGCTTGAACATGCATAATAATGTTGATTCAAAACTGGAATTATAAACACCCTTAACAGAGTTCTCTGCTTTTGCAGAATCTCTTGTTGAAAGACTCGGCAGGCAAAGAGGATTATGAAGAACAAGATGACGAAATACTGGACAGTTCAAGCAACAGAGCTTTTACCAATAAACAGTATATTAAGGTGATCAATCACAAACTCTTTCCACCACCCCCACCCCCACCCCCAAAACC